TCAATATTTTGTTTTTGATCATCATTTTAATTATTATAATAAAAGTGAAATTGCTACGTAATTTACCTGGGTATACCAATTTATTGGGTGATATCAGTGCTGAAATGGTTGAATAGAAAGTAAAAATATATGTATAGTCTTGTTATTGTGAAGTCAGGTAACTTTCAGCCAATCACTGATGCTGTACAAACATATATTTGATGTAGAGGCACCAATCATTATTTCGGTACCGACGTCACCAAAATATGTGTCTTCAGATGCCACATGAATATCCAATAACTCACACAAATTCAGAGGACAAAATGTATCACATATATACTAGTCGACACATCGATAATACAATCTCCTGAGCAGCTTTAAAATATAGCATATGCTATATATACATGTACATACACTATTCGATTTTTCAATCTACCGTACAATAAATGCCATAAACACCAAAGATGTGCAAAATGAAAACACCTACAAAGCCCATGTACATGCAGACTGTAATAGACACCTATTTTAATAGTGCTTTATCTTGTACTCGCTCCATTAAACACAATTCCAGAAGCTGTCTCTTTCACAAGATATGAAACAACTCAGAATTGAAAATGCAGTTTTTGCTCTATTATTTAGATGTGTATCTTCTAGAACATAAGTGTGCTTTTTTTCAGTACTATACATGTAATGAGGCCAATTCAGCTTATTTTAGCAGGATATACATGTATACATAAATACACAAAGTATCATTATATTTTCTTTTTTATAGCATATTTTGATGGAGCATTTAAATATAATAGGTATTTCTAATGGAGCAAATATGGTACATGAACAAGTAAATAAAAGTATGTTGAATTCAATTTTTGAGCATCTATTTACATACATGTATTTGTAATTCAAAAATGATGATTGATGAAGTTAAAACCTCTACATGCACACAGATGTGAACAGCTCTGCTCAGTCATCTCCAATGACACTGTCGATACATGTACATATGTGATAAAATATAGTGTTAACCATAGTGTGTTAACATAGTAAAATCAATTTAGTCACACTAACAACACTACAGAAATTGCCCAGTTGAGGTCTTCTATGAAGAAGTCCAAGTTTTCTAGTTGCACAAATTTTTTTCAAGCTGGTTTGGAAAGAGTTTTACCCCAATTTCTGCTCTAAGGTAATAAATGCATTGAGATTACATGGAAATAATACATTGATATACAAATTAATTTGATGAAGTTATCATGATAACGCTGCAAAGTATGCATGAAGACAGTATGATGATCCTATCAACCATCACGTAGCATTGGCCAGTACAACCAGTACTGTCTGTGTGTATACTGTGTGATGACCTCATTACACATAATTTCCCTGTTTGTAGGAATAATTTAATGAAAAAATAAAACCCAAACGTTGTATGTAGTCAGGGACAAGATTCTATAGCCTTTCTGCAATATAAACAAATTGTTTGAATGTGATAATGATATCAATATTCTATTCTAGTACATGACGTACATAGCATGTAGTCTACCCCATATTTAAGAGACAATCCCAATGTACAGACAAATGCTGATACATTTTTGAATGACTGCTGATAGCATTTTATTTACAAAACAGCAAATTCTATTGCTTTTATTGCTACATGTAGATGTATAATAATTTCTAATATCTTGAACACACTGATCGGATTTCACATTTGGTTGGTGTGCAGAGCAAAATGCACCTTATTTTGTTAGAATGAGCTTGCAAAAATGCATTGATAGCTGACACAATTACAGTGGAGTTCTGTTTTAGTAGATGAAATATTTTAGTAATTTTTTTCTCATGATACAATGCATGAAATGTATGCTAACATTGTTCTCCCATGATGCAATGCATGACATTTATTTTAGCACTTTGCTCTTGTAATGCAACACATGAAACATATTCGGTTCCACTTTTTGTTCTCGTGATATGCATAGAATCTATTCTAGTCCCATAATGCAACACATAAAATGTATTCTAGTGAATACTTATCCCATGATGCAACACATGAAATGTATTTCAGTGAATCTTTTTTCACAATGCAATGCATGATTTTTTTCCCCATAATGTGACACATAGCAAATACCATCATCGTACAATGCATGAAATGTATATTCTTGTCATTGTCTCCCTATGGAATGCTGATAATTTTTCCATAATGCAATGCACCAATGTAGTCTAGTAAATCTTTCCCAAGATGCAATGTGTAAAACTGAAATACAATGCATGAAATGTATATTCTTGTCATTGTCTCCCTATGGAATGCTTATAATTTTTTTCCATAATGCAATGCACCAATGTAGTCTAGTAAATCTTTCCCAAGATGCAATGTGTGAAACTGAAATAGATATTCTGTTTCCTCCATACAAAATATAGTGTTATATACAACAGATAGACGACACGTACATGTAACTCAGTAGTGACATTCATTCCTCCTAAAACTTAGTCTCCTTGGTGTATTTAGTAAGGATTTTTTGCCACAAAATGTGCCAAAAAAGTACATCCACAGACATTTACACATGTACATGAGGCTCTGTACATATCCAGTACATGCTACATTTGCTTCCTTAATTTAATGGAAGAAGACTGCTTATCACAGTGACTGAACACATGAAAATGTTTACTACGCCTGATTTCTCAAGCAGTAAAGGTCACCAAA